GAGCTATTTAAGAGCTACTTAGAGCTATTTAGGGGCTATTGCTTTAGAGCTATTTAGATCTATTTAGATCTATTTAGAGCTATTTAGAGCTATTTAGAGCTATTTAGAGCTATTTAGATCTATTTAGATCTATTTAAAGCTATTTAGAGCTATTTAAAGCTATTTAGAGCTATTTAGAGCTATTTAGAGCTATTTAGAGCTATTTAGAGCTATTTAGAGCTATTTAGATCTATTTAGATCTATTTAGAGCTATTTAGAGCTATTTAGAGCTATTTAGAGCTATTTAGATCTATTTAGATCTATTTAAAGCTATTTAGAGCTATTTAAAGCTATTTAGAGCTATTTAGAGCTATTTAGAGCTATTTAGAGCTATTTAGAGCTATTTAGAGCTATTTAGGAGCTATTTGGATGAGCTATTTAGAGCTATTTAGAGCTATTTGGGAGCTATTTAAAGCTATTTAGAGCTATTTAGAGCTATTTAGAGCTATTTAGAGCTATTTAGAGCTATTTAGAGCTATTTAGAGCTATTTAGAGCTATTTAGAGCTATTTAAAGCTATTTAGAGCTATTTAAAGCCATTAAAATCCATTAAAATCCATTTAAAGTCCTCAAGTCTTCAAGCTTTTCTCTGGATTCAATCTAATCTTTATCTTAATTCAACGAACATTTCATTGTCACTCTGCGAAACATCATTGTAGGCGTGCATGAGCGAGTGCTGCACGAGAGCTGAGTTCCCGAAATATGGCAAAAAGGCGTCGATCGAGTTCTTGTATTGCACTCTGAATGATTTAAGTCTCTTACTGGGGATTTTTGCTAACCTATCATCACTTTTGACTCGGGAAATCCCTATCTGATGCAGTTTTTCACGCTGATTCCGAATCTGCAATCAGTTTTTGCCAAACACTTCTCTATCGTGAGATATTTGGCATACAAGTTTTGAGATCTCTTTATGTGGGTTGCCTTATATAGACAGAGGGACTCGAACCCTTGGGATCCAAAAGGGCATACGCTCGGTAGACGTGGCTACTACACCGCTGAGGCTGACTGAAGACAGTGCGTCGCCCTTATAAAGATATCCCAAAAACTTGTATGCCAAATATCTCGCGATAGAGGCGTTGGCAAAAACTGATTGCAGATTCGGAATCAGCGTGAAAAACTGCATCAGATAGAGATTTCCCAAGTCAAAAAGTGATGATAAGTCAACAAAATTCTCTAGTTAGCGGCCTTCTTGTGTCTTAACGGCCTTCTTGCGGGTCAGCCGTCTTGCAGCCGTGGCCGAGTGGTTCAGCGCTCGTTTCTAGAGCGAGAACTCACAAGTTCGATCCCCACATGGAACTTTGCTTTTTTCTAGTGCTATTTCTTGTTGGAGAAAACATCTTCAAAAATAAATTTCGGGTGTTGTGGGATCGAACTCGTGAGGTCTCGCTCTCGGAACGAGGGCTTTACCACTCGGCCACAACTGCATTGAGACTAGGCTGCCAGGAGGCCGTTAAGAGATCGCAAGGAGGTCGCAAGGAGACCACAAGGAGATTGTTAAAACTTAAATAATCAAATTTTCAACAAAACTCTTGACAGATTGTCATTTAGTAAAAAACGGAATATAGATTTGGAATCAGCAGAAAATTCTGCGTTTAATGGGATAGATTGTAGAGGATATAGCTGGCTCTGTCAGTTGACCTCCTTAAAGAATTTACAGAATAAAATCAGAAGCCAGAAGGCTTTACAAGCTGAAGTAGAGCCCGGCTTACAGGCTGGAGTAGAGCCCGGCTTACAAGCTGGAGTAGAGCCCGGCTTACAGGCTGGAGTAGAGCCCGGCTTACAGGCTGGAGAGTAGAGCCCGGCTTACAGGCTGGAGAGTAGAGCCCGGCTTACAGGCTGGAGAGTAGAGCCCGGCTTACAGGCTGAAGTAGAGCCCGGCTTACAGGCTGAAGTAGAGCCCGGCTTACAGGCTGGAGAGTAGAGCCCGGCTTACAAGCTGAAGTAGAGCCCAATCTCTATCGCTTTACGCTCCAAAAATGTAAACAAATCAATTCTAGTGCGCAAAATAGTATCGAATAAACTAAGAAATGTAATAATTATGAAATTTTATAAGTTTTTTTCACTTTCCCTTGAACAAACCTATCAATTCTTGCTTTATTTTGCGGATCCTCGGCTGAGATTGTGTGATTGTAAGCGAAACCGTATTTACGCTCGAATCTAAAAGTAGGAGAGAAAATTTTGAACAAAATTTGAACAAAACTTGAACAAAATTCAATGAAAATCAAGTTTCTAATGAATCTATTGAGCTTTTATTGAGATGAAAAAAAATTGGAGATCTTTAGATCTTTAAGAGCTTTAGGAGCTCTAGATCCTTAGGAGCTCTAGATCCTTAGGAGCTCTAGATCCTTAGCTCTTTAGATCCTTAGCTCTTTAGATCCTTAGCTCTTTAGATCCTTAGCTCTTTAGCTAAAGAAGTTTCAAGCTTTCCATTTCATCTTTCAATCTCAAAGAAAGATAAAATTCAAGTGATGGAATGGAAGTCTGATTTAAGGCTGAATTCTGCTTTAAGGCTGAATTCTGATGAAATTCTATTATTCTGATGAAATTCTGATATTCGAATGCATTAAATCTATAGAAGTAATGCTATTTGAAAGAAATTTTTATGATTTATATGATCTTTAACTAGATTTAGAAGCGACTTACAAAAATACGGTAGCCAATACGTTCCCTCGTCTGCCACAGTGCCCATCAAGACCGACACGTCTTTTTTAAAGTCCCGACGCCGCAACCGTTCCCAGAGATTTCCCTATGCAGATTCTGATGTAATTTGTCGGCTAGAATTTGCTAGCCTACGGAAATTATGATGTTCTTTTGGATTTTGCCTTTCTTTCGAATCCCCAATTCAATTCTATCAATTCAATCAATTCTATCAATTCAATCAATTCTATCAATTCTATCAATTCTATCAATTCAATCAATTCAATCAATTCAATCAATTCTATCAATTCTATCAATTCAATCAATTCTATCAATTCTACCAAAATGTAGCCAAGATTAAGGGCTTTAATGTACTTAAAAAGCTAGACTGGTAAAAGCAATAGATCAATAGCAATAAATCCTTTTAAAACCTTGAAAAAATTAGGCTCATCATCGACTGGTGAAAAAGCAAAAGTCATTGGCAAATTGATGTCATTTGTGATTTGATCAGCGGCTTCCTGAAATGAGAAATTCATTTATTTCATTTATTTCAATTTACTTCATTGCTTAATTGAATCTTTAAAGTTTAGTGATAGATTTTTGATGAATCGAAACCTTTTAAAGACTTCACTCACTTGTAAAAGCTTTGGCGACGTGTTGCGCAAACATTTCGCCACAACTTTCTTGTCAATCTAGATTAAATCGATCTAGGATTTCATTTAATTTGGTTTTTGATTTGCTTAAATGAATATTTTGGGGTCTCTGACCGACTACAGTACGACTACAGACCGAAAAAGTCAGCTACAGTTATAGTAATAGTTATAGTAAAGTTATAGTAATCGATTTGTTAGTGTAACGACTGTAAACTGGTAGCTGAGTTTGAGTACTGAAAATGAACTGAAAGAGCCAGCGAAATCCTATACAATCTATCCCATTAAACGCAGAATTTTCTGCTGATTCCAAATCTATATTCCGTTTTTTACTAAATGACAATCTGTCAAGAGTTTAAAGAGTCTAAAGTTTTGTTGAAAGTTTGATTATTTAAGTTTTAAAAATCTTCTTGTGGTCTCCTTGCGGTCTCTTAACGGCTTCCTGGCAGCCCTGCTTCAATGCAGTCGTGGCCGAGTGGTACAGCGCTCGTTTACAGATCGAGACCTCACGGGCTCAATCCCGGGCTCGGTCTTTTTGCGTTTTACAAGAACTGTTCTTTATGCGTGTTTCCATTTGGCCATTCCATTTGGCATACCACTTTCCAATAAGGCTAGCGATAGCTTCTAGTTCTAGTTCTAGTCGATCAAATATGCTAATATGGCTCAGCTACTATGGCTGAGCTAATATGGCTGAGCTAATATGGCTGAGCTAATATGGCTTAGCTAATATGGCTGAGCTAATATGGTTCAGCTAATATGGCTTAGCTAATATGGTTCAGCTAATATCGCTCAGCTAATATGGTTCAGCTAATATGGCTACCTGTGTGGATCCAGTGCAATTAACCAATCGTGCTAATTGAAGAGACGTCTCCAATAAAGTTTCCTTGCTTCGCGTTGCCCATGAGTTTGTGATAGCTCCACTCTGAAAGAATTCATAATTTCTAGTATTCTTTATGCTCTTTCTGTAAACACCATCTTTCTAGAGCACTTGATTCTTTCTGTGCGCTGGAAAGGGTGCGTTTAAGCAGCGTTTAAGCAGCGTTTAAGCAGCGTTTAAGCAGCGACTACAAAGAGCATCTAGTTGTGAAGGATTCGTTTTCAAATTCGAGCACAAAAGTAGATGTTTGCCTTAGAAAACCGACCTTGGCAATGATTTTCGAGAAATATCGATGCGATTGTGGAGCAATGAGATGAGCTGTCACAGAGGCAGCGCCAGCACTTTCACCGAAAAGCGTCACCCGGGTGGCATCACCGCCAAAAGAGCCGATATTTTGATGGATCCATCTAGAAATTTTCTATCTCTTCATAGGTTTGTGAACGCTCATCATCAAATCATCAAGAGCTCTTTGATGCTTTTTGGCTGCTTTTGCGGCTGATTTTGTGGCTGTTCTTTGTGGCTGATTTTTGCGGCTGATTTGCGGCTGCTTTTTGCGGCTGCTTGCCGTTTTTTTTTGTTCAAACCGTAGCGCCAAAGAGTCAGTGTTTATCACTTCAAAAAGTCTTGCATTTCATTGATCTCAGAATGACGAGCTGATTTTGATCCACCATTAGAAACCGGGAACGGATTATAGGTCAATGAGATCGACTTGGTCGACTGGAGAGTCGACTGGACTTGACAGCGCTCGTTCTGCTCTTGTGTGATAATTGGCTTCATGCAAATTTGCTTGATGACAATTTGCTTGGTGACAATTTGCTTGGTGACAATTTGCTTGATGACAACGATTTCGGTTTACGCCTGAGCCGTGCTTTGAACCGAAATTGCTGTAGCCAAGTTACCCGAGTCGATGTTTGAGTTTTTAAAGTGTATAATCGATTTCTAAACATCTAAATAGCTAAATAGCTAAATATCTAGATATCTAGATGTCTAAAGATCTAGATATCTAGGTATCTAAAGAACTAGATATCTAGATGTCTAAAGATCTAGATATCTAAAGATCTAGATATCTGAAGATCTAGATATCTAAAGATCTAGATATCTGAAGATCTAGATATCTAAAGATCTAGATATCTAGGTATCTAAAGATCTAGATATCTAGATATCTAAAGATCTAGATATCTAGATATCTAAAGATCTAGATATCTAGATATCTAAAGATCTAGATATCTAGATGTCTAAAGATCTAGATATCTAAAGATCTAGATATCTAGGTATCTAGGTATCTAAAGAACTAGATATCTAGATATCTAAATAGCTAAGTATCTAAATAGCTAAATCTCTAAATATCTAAAGATCTAAATAATTAAACATCTAAACATCTAAATCACTAAATATCTAAAAAGCTAAAGAGCTAAATATCCAAAGAGCTAAATATCTAGATATCTAGGTATCTAAAGATCTAAATATCTAAATATCTAGATATACCTATGCAGCAATCTAAAATAATCCAAATACCGTACTCTAAAGCGATTTGCTGATCGAGAAGTCCCATATTGCCGGGGATCTCCGAGTCACCGCCCAAGTAGAGAAAACCGAAGGGACCGAGTCTAAAAATTCGATAATTATAACTTTAAAAGAATAGATACTGTAGCTCTCGAGATACTGTAGCTATCAAGATACTGTAGCTATCAAGATACTGTAGCTATCGAGATACAGTAGCTATCGAGATACAGTAGCTATCGAGATACAGTAGCTCTCGAGATACTGTAGCTCTCGAGATACTGTAGCTCTCGAGATACTGTAGCTCTCGAGATACTGTAGCTCTCGAGATACTGTAGATAGTAGCATAGGTAGTAGCACCAAATCCTCTAGCTATCAAATAAGCCTTTAAAACTCACCGATAATTGATGTTGACGACAATTTTGTTGTACTTAGCGGCGAGCACCGATCCGTCGTAAAGGTCAAGGCTGGGGGAGCCTGGAAGGTGAGAATTGGGTATAAATATAGCATTAGATTAAAGTATTAGCGAAATAACTAGGCAATAGATAGCTACCGTACACTGTAATAGCACCCGGGCCCCCATAATGACCGTGCGGAGTATTGCGTAGTCTAGCTTTGAACGCGTTTTTCTCGACACTGGTTTATGCTACAGTGCGCGTTTAGGTATCAAAAAATAGCTGAAATTCAGGGCTATTTTTTGATACAAAAGACGCATTTTTTTGAAAGTACCGACGCTTTGAAAAAAAATGGAATACTATACGCGACGCGACTACGAGACTGTACGAGAGCGGTGGGGTACTATTACAGTACGGTAAGCAATGCTAAGCAATAGCTAAGCAATAGCTAAGCAATGAATAGCTAAGCAATGAATAGCTAAGCAATAATATCTAGGCAATAAATATCTAAACATACCCGAGAAAAACCCTCCCCCATAAATCCACACCAACACCGATCCATCGTGCTTCGGCGGCACCCAGACATTCAAGCTGAGACAATCCTCCGACAGGGGACTCTGGAAAGGAAATCTAGTCCTTCAATCCCTAATGATCTAAATCCCAATATCTAGAGACTCCTTTTTCGCGATGTTTACAAGAATAACAGCATTCTACTGTCAAAACTAGAGTGTGTTCCTTGCAGATAACGCGTTTTCTAAAAAGCGCGCGCCAAGGATAAGCTACCGTAACCCTATGCTTTGCGTCAGCAAATTTTTCAAAATGCAAATGTACATAAAAATCTTGCGCTCTTTTTTTCTATTACTCTTTCCTTAACTCTATTCCTTAACTCTTAACTTCGCTAAAACTTAAAAATTTTAAAATGCTATTTAAAATTAAAGAAAACATTTAAAACGGGAAAAGTTAATAAGCACTATTAAAAAATTATATTGGGTTGATGCATAATTATCCGGACTTCTTTTTGCGTGCTTGTATCTTTTTTGTTTTGAAAGCTTTTGTCTATTTCTTTTTTAAATATTCGTTATTCTTTAGTGAACAAAATGCGTGTCGACAATCATATCCATCTTCGCCATATCATGCTCTACCACTTCGAAAAGGGATGCTCTGCCGCAGAGTCGTTTCGCGATCTCAAAGAACTTTTTGGTCAAGGAACAATTGGACGTGCAACAGTTTATGAATGGTTCGATCGTTTCAAGTCCGGTAACACAAGTGTTGATGATGAACCAGGAAGAGGACGGCCATCAGAATTCGATGACAAGGCACTTCTGGAAGCCGTTGAAGAAGACGAAAGCCTGACAACCAGAATGCTGGCAGATGAATTCAATGTTGACCAGTCAACGATCGTGCGCCATCTCAAAAAGCTTGGCAAAGTATGGAAATTGGCTGGATGGGTCCCACACGAACTCTCCGAGAAGAACCAAGCAGATCGCCTTCGAATTTTCACCGATTTGTTGCAACGAAACGAGGGAAGCACCGTTTTTGAAGAATCTCGTCACAGGCGATGAATCATGGCTGTTGTTCAAGAACCTCAAGAGAAAGAAAGTCTGCGTGTCGCCAGGTGTTTCACCTAAAGGAATACCGAAAGATGTCCACTGTAAGAAAGCAATGTGGTGTGTATGGTGGGACAGAAGCGGAATCATCCACTGGGAAATCATCTCTAACGGCATCTGTTATTGGTGGAATGACGATGATGAACGTGAGCAATGGCGAATTCCAGACAAAAATGGCAAGAAGCAATTGAACATCAATAGTGACGTCTACTTGGCACAACTTGAACGCTTACATGCTGCAATTCAGGCACGAAGACCGCGCAAAAAGAACAACATCGTCTTTCACCACGATAACGCACGTCCGCACGTTGAGCGCCATGTCGTCGAATCCATCGCTAGTAAGGGCTGGGATCTTCTTCCACACCCGCCATATTCTCCTACTGAAGCCCCAACGGACTACCACGTCAATCGATCGCTCAAAAATTGGCAAACAAATAAGATCTACAACGATTTGGATGACTTGATAGGCGATGTTAAAGCGTGGATTGCCTCCAAAGATCGTTTATTCTTCGCTCGTGGAATCGATCGTCTTCCAAGCAAATGGCAATCAGTTATTGATGTAGGCGGTGAATATGCTCCAGAATAATCAATTAAACATATTTTTCTAACTATTTATGTTATTTTTTGTTAAATAAAATCATTTATAAAAGAAGTCCGGATAATTATGCATCAACCCAATATTATTTACGAATTCACCAGGCCTATTGTCCACATTTGCACTAGAAGCATTCCAAAAAAAAATTCCACGCCCTAAAAAACCTAAATCCTTAAATAAAACTATCCATTACTATATTTTGAGAAAAGTTTGCAAAATTTTTTCGCGCGACCTTTATAGCTTTGCTTAAAAAGCGCACCTTTTAGAAAACGCATTGTCGGAAGTCTTGTCGGATCAATTGTCTGACAAATTGTCTGTCAACAAGGAGCACACTCTAGTCAAAACCGCGACTCAACATCGATTAAATAATCTCGACTCGAAAAAGATGATTCTTTCGATTCTTGGTCGGCTTTTTGAAGTAGAATAGAGACTCTACCTCTTAAATAAAGATAAAGTCTCTATTCCTCTATCGATTTAATCTAGATTGACAAGAAAGTTGTGGCGAAATGGTTGCTTTTGTTTTGACTTGAACTGAACTTGAGGTTCAAAGCGTCCTCATTCCTCGTCCAGGCATTCAATTAATCTCTACTAATTAAGTATAAATCTAAGTCATTATTAAGTCTAACAACTAGTTTACAGTTTACAGATCTAACAGATTACAGTTTAGAGTTTACAGTTTAGAGTTTACAGATTACAGTTTACAGATCTAACAGATTACAGTTTACAGTTTACAACTAGATCACATTTCCTAAGCATTTAGCAAACCGTTGGCGGTGGATTCCACATCTCGGCGCCTGGGAAATCGGGAAACATCTTGTCGACTGTGTAGAAACAAGTCTTCGCCGGGTGCTTGGCCTCGAATTCACCACTCCAAGCCGGAACTTTCTGAAAATTTCTTTTCATTGCAGTTTGTTTTGATATTAGAACAAAGCTTTTACAAGGAACAAAAGGAAAAGGAAGAAAGCAAGGAGGAAAGCAAGGAGGAAAGCAAGGAAGAAAGCAAGGAGGAAAGCAAGGAAGAAAGCAAGAAGGAAAGCAAGGAAGAAAGCAAGGAGGAAAGCAAGGAGGAAAGCAAGGAAGAAAGCAAGGAGGAAAGCAAGGAGGAAAGCAAGGAAGAAAGCAAGGAGGAAAGCAAGGAGGAAAGCAAGGAAGAAAGCAAGGAAGAAAGCAAGGAGGAAAGCAAGGAGGAAAGCAAGGAAGAAAGCAAGGAGGAAAGCAAGGAGGAAAGCAAGGAAGAAAGCAAGGAGGAAAGCAAGGAGGAAAGCAAGGAGGAAAGCAAGGACCAAAACAAGGACAAGGACCAAAGCAAGGACCAAAGCAAGGACCAAAACCAGGACCAAACCAAGGACAAGGAAGAAAGCAAGGAGGAAAAGGACAAGGACCAAAACAAGGACCAAAACAAGGACCAAAACAAGGACCAAAACAAGGACCAAAACAAGGACCAAAACAAGGACCAAAACAAGGACCAAAACAAGGACCAAAACAAGGACCAAAACAAGGACCAAAACAAGGACAAGGACAAGGACCAAAACAAGGGCCAAAGCAAGGACCAAAACAAGGACAAGGACCAAAACAAGGACCAAAGCAAGGACCAAAACCAGGACCAAACCAAGGACAAGGACCAAAGCAAGGACCAAAGGAGGGCCATTTACAAGGAACAAAACACTTGCTATCTTTGTACCTCCGGTATCCCAAATCTCCTCGATTCAACTGGAGGTCTTGCATAAGGGATCCCAAGGAAAACGCTCATGTGAACTCCATCGAAATTCTAAAATTTAGACATTTATTTGTTTATTAGTATTATTGTTTATTAGTATTATTGCTTATTAGTATTATTGCTTATTAGTAATTAGGTTGGCAACTTTCAATCTCTTCAATCTTTTCTTTTCGAAATTCTAACATTCTTTTTACGATACTTAAATGAAAGACCAAAAATTTTTGATTCAGCTGCTTTACGATTTTAAACAAGAAAAATCTGTGGCTGAATCGCATCGTACAATTATTTCTGTTTTTGGAGAAAAGCCATAGACAGCCATAGACAGCCATAGACAGCTATAGACAGCCATAGACATCCATAGACAGCTATAGACAGCTATAGACAGCCATAGACAGCCATAGACAGCTATAGACAGCCATAGATAGCCATAGATAGCTATAGACAGCCATAGACAGCCATAGATAGCCATAGACAGCTATAGACAGCTATAGACAGCCATAGATAGCCATAGACAGCTATAGACAGCTATAGACAGCCATAGACAATGCCGTACATGATTTCAACGTTTCCAAAGCAGCAATCAATGCCTCGAGGATGAGTCGCGTGGAGTGAGGAACAGATTTGGTTTAGATTTGATTCAGATTTGATTTAGATTTGGTTTAGATGCCAGCTACGGAATGCCATCAGAACATTTGTACTGTTTTTGGAGAAGCTGCTCTTGCTTACAAACAATTTTGTGTTTGGTACGATCGCTTCAAAACGGGAAACGAGTCATTGGAAGATGCACCACATGGAAAGCCACCGATTACTTTGGACGATCAGCTGTTACTGAACGAGGTCGACTTGTCGAGGTCGAGAAAATTAGCAGAAAAGTTCGGATGCACTCATGTTACCATTGAAAACCATTTACACGTTCCTGGGAGATCATGTCGAAGCGGGCAAATATATCGGAGCTCCCCCACGACCTGACTGATGCCCACAAAGCCATACGTGTCACCCTGAGCTCTTTTCTTCTACGCAAAGCTCACCATCGTGACTTATAAACAATGTTGTGTTTGGTAAGATCGCTTCATATTCATGTTCGTGCACATCTTCATCTTCATCTTCATCTTCATCTTCATCTTCATCTTCATCTTCATCTTCATCTTCATCTTCATCTTCATCTTCATCTTCATCTTCATCTTCATCTTCATCTTCATCTTCATCTTCATCTTCATCTTCATCTTCATCTTCATCTTCATCTTCATCTTCATCTTCATGGAAAGAAGATCATGCTGTTGTTGGTGGAATGCAAAAAGCTTTGGTGCCCTTCGAAGTGTTAAACCAGTTAAACCAAAACCAGTTGATGTTGATGGACAAACAGTTAATACCGAACTCTATTCAAAACAATTAGTCCGAGTCAACGAGGCTTTGAAGGAATTGGAGTTTTGTGTAATCAACAAGTTAGTATTTTGTGCAATCAACAGATTAGTTTGAACGAAAATTTGGAAAGTTGCCAACCAAAAAATCTAGAAACATTTCTTAAAAATTCTGATTATCTAGATCGATTTCTTATTCTAAACAAAAGTACGACGATCGATTTAGCTAATATTAAAGTTTTCTTTTTGCACTTACTTGCTTAAACCCGCGAATATCACCTAAATTTGTTCGCACAAGGCTATCGTCGGAGATCACCGCTCGACCGAGAACCTGGAAATTTTTGAGATTAGCTTCCAAAAACAGATCTAGCTTTAAAAGTCGATTCAATTGATTTAGAGTTTTCATTTGGGCACAACTAGGAGGCAACTAGAATGCAACTAGAATGCAACTAGAATGCGGGGTGGTGCAATGCGAGTGTGCAATTTCTCTGTGAAATTCTCTGGAATTAGATCCCGTGGAGTTAGCTCTGGTTCAATTTCGCTCTCCGGTAGTTTATAACCTAGTTTATAGCGTAGTTTATAGCGTAGTTTATAACCTAGTTTATAGCCTAGTTTGTGGTCTAGTTTGTGGTCTAGTTTGTGGTCTAGTTTATAGCCTAGTTTTTAACCTAGTTTATAGCCATAAACTAGTTTAGTTAGTTTAGCTATGGTTTATAGCCAGTTTATGGCTAGTTTATGACCCAAGTGCTTAATGCGAGAAGCCTATCCAGCCTCTTTTCACCTTTCTCTTAAGGCGCGATAAAGTGGCGTGTTAAGGCGCGATAAAGTGGCGCGGTTAAGACGCGATAAAGTGGCGCGTTAAGGCGCGATAAAGTGGGGAGTTAAGGCGCGATAAAGTGGCGCGTTAAGGCGCGATAAAGTGGGGAGTTAAGGCGCGATAAAGTGGCTCGTTAAGGCGCGATAAAGTGGGGAGTTAAGGCGCGATAAAGTGGCGCGGTTAAGACGCGATAAAGTGGCGCGTTAAGGCGCGATAAAGTGGGGAGTTAAGGCGCGATAAAGTGGCGCGTTAAGGCGGGATAAAGTGGGGCGTTAAGGCGGGATAAAGTGGCGCGGTTAAGGCGCGATAAAGTGGCGTGTTAAGGCGCGATAAAGTGGCGCGGTTAAGACGCGATAAAGTGGCGCGTTAAGGCGCGATAAAGGTGGCGCATTAAGGCCCGATAAAGGTGGCGCGTTAAGGCGCGATAAAGTGGCGCGGTTAAGGATGTAAGTCGGATTCGGATTTATCATAGATATTATCTACAACTATCTACAACTATCTACAACTTACTGTATGAAATCGTGTGTGAATGAGAATGAATAGTGGAAGGAGTGGGAGGGCAACTCTCCCACTCCCGCCATTCCACATTTGAAAGAGGAGGGGAAACGAGTGATCGGAGTGATCGACCGATTGGTTAAAGCATCAAAAGATCTCTGGAATATTTAGATATCTTTTTTGGATAAGTTAAAAAGACTTTAGATAAGTTTAAAAGATCAATTCTTGAAATACAATTCTTAAAATTCAATTCTTAAAAGAAAACTTTGTCAACGTGGACACTTGTCGACAAATGAGTGGGTAAACAATGGGAAAATGGGGAAAGGAAGACGATTTTTGAAGAGATAAAGAAGAGTACAGTTTAGAGAAAAGTAAGTAATAGAAAAGTAAAGTTTTGTTGAGAAGGGATGTAGATAAACTAGTTAGTAGATAGTAGATACTAGATAAACTAGGTACTAGATGCTAGATCAATTAGCTACTAGTTACTAGTTACTAGATACTAGATACTAGATACTAGATACTAGATACTAGATACTAGATACTATGTATTGGAACCGTATTGGAACCGTATTGGATCAGAATAGGAACCATATTGGAACCGTATTGGAACTGTATTGGAATTGTATTGGAACTGTATTGGAATTGTATTGGAACTGTATTGGAATTGTATTGGAACCGTATTGGATCAGAATAGGAACCGTATTGGAACTGTATTGGAACTGTATTGGAACCGTATTGGATCAGAATAGGAACCGTATTGGAACTGTATTGGAATTGTATTGGAACCGTATTGGATCAGAATAGGAACCATATTGGAACCGTATTGGAACTGTATTGGAATTGTATTGGAACCGTATTGGATCAGAATAGGAACCGTATTGGAACTGTATTGGAATTGTATTGGAACCGTATTGGATCAGAATAGGAACCATATTGGAACCGTATTGGAACTGTATTGGAATTGTATTGGAACCGTATTGGATCAGAATAGGAACCATATTGGAACCGTATTGGAACTGTATTGGAATTGTATTGGAACCGTATTGGATCAGAATAGGAACCATATTGGAACCGTATTGGAACTGTATTGGAATTGTATTGGAACCGTATTGGATCAGAATAGGAACCGTATTGGAACTGTATTGGAAACGTATTGGATCAGAATAGGAACTATTAGGTTGATGCAAAAGTCTTTTTCATTTTTTTCGTACTTCCGTTAAAAAGTAACAAATGCACCAATTGAACAACGGTTTATTGCATTCGAAAGGCCAATTATTTTTCTGCAAAATGACATTAAAACGAGTTTAAAATGTCTTATGTCTAGATTTTTTTGAGAGCCTGAAGTCGGGTAGTCAAAAAAGGCGACGGCTCGATCATGCATTTTAGACGCTTTAGCTAAGGAAACCAATCTTGATGTTAATAAATAAAAGATAGAGCACAAATACTATATTAGATACTAATATATTAGATACTTTTTCAGATTTTCAGAGAAATTGATTCAGCCAATTTCTTTATAGAGGTTTTTATAGATTTTTATGAAAAACCCGTTTTCACTCTCGAATTTGCTTGAAAGTGAACCCAAATTGACTTAAAAAGATGGGAAATTGAACAATAAACACTTTTCATTTAGAGCAAACCATAGGTTAATTCATGACTTTGTTATCAAAAGAAAGAAGTACGAAAAAAATGAAAAAGACTTTTGCATCAACCTAATAGATACTAGATACTAGATACTATTAGGTTGGCAAAAAAGAAATGAACGTCGTGTTTGTTGATTTGTATTTTATTCACAGTAAAAGATTTTTTAAAAGAGTTTATTTTATTGGAAAGAGCGTGTTCTTGCGCATCGTTTGATATATAATTTGTCTATGTTTACTTTGTTTTTTTGCAAGAAAGAGTGTTTAGAAAATGTCGAACCAAAAATTTAGTTTGCGGGCCTGCTTGTGGTATGAATTTAAGCAAGGCAAATCGGCTGCTGAAGCTCATGGCGCTCTATCTCAAGTGTTTGACGAAGATGCTCTATCCGAAAGTCAGTGTAAACGATGGTTCCAGACGGCGACGAAAGCTTAGAAGACCAAAAACACGGGAGTCGACCTCAAATCATCGACCACGACGCATTGAAGGAAGCCATTGAGTCGGATCCACGCCAAACCACTCGCGACCTGGCAGAACAGTTCGACTGCACTCATGTCACCATTGAGAACCAACTGCATGGCATGGGCAAGACGAATAGATGCGGAAAATGGGTACCGCATAAGCTATCCGAGGCAAACAAGGCGACACGCATCGCAATCGCCGGAATTCTCACTCACCGCGCCAAGAACAGTGAGTTTTTCGACTCCATTGTTATGTCGGATAAGAAGTGGATCCAATACGGCAACACAGCAAGAAAGCGGCAGTGGTTGGACCCCGGTGAAGCTCCAAAACCGGACATCCACGGAAAAAAGGTGATGCTTTGTGTTTGGTGGAACAGTAAAGGCCTGGTGTACTTTGAGGTTCTGGATTCGGGTCAAACAGTTACGGCGAACCTCTACCAAGGCCAATTTGACCGCGTGGACCAGGCGCTGCGGCGTCAAGGCGTGGATACGGCGTCGACAAAATTCCTCCACGACAACGCTCGGCCGCATGTCGCAAAAATCACCCAGCAGAAAATTGAAGAAATGGGCTGGAAAGTTCTGCCTCATCCGCCATACAGCCCAGACTTGGCGCCTTCCGACTACCATCTGTTCCGATCAATGCACCACTTCTTGGCCGAGAAAAAGTTCAAGAACCGTGACGAGGTCCAAATTTCGGTGTCCAACTTCTTCGAGTCGCAGCCGGTCGAGTTCTTCAAGAAGGGCATCCATTCTCTGCGTGAACGTTGGCGACAAGTCATTGATGCAGATGGCGAATACCTTTTGGGTTAATGTATTGTTATCTTGTTTTTATAATAAAATAAACTTTTAACGAAAACGCGCATTTCTTTTTTGCCAACCTAATAGATACTAGATAAACTCTAGCACTAGGTAAGTTTATTCAACCAGCAGAATTTGTGAACTTGCACACGGTATTCGTAAAATGTAAGTCTTGTAGTAAAGTAGTAAAGTCTTGTAGTAAAATTCAATCAATGTTTGAGCACGGAATGCTCTAATCAGTCCTTAGGCTTGTAAATCGTCAAACCAGGGCTCGATCAACTGCTAAATTTAGCAAGTCCAGCTTCTAGGCTTGGCTCCAGGCTTGGCTTAGGCTAGAATTGGCTTTGATTCAAGTAAAGGAGAAGACTTGTAACTTGTAACTTGTAAGAAGTACTAAAAACAACAAAGCAACTAGTAAAGCAGCAAAGCAACTAGTAAAACAACAAAGCAACTAGCAAAATAATAAAGCAACTAGCAAAACAGCAAAGCAACTAGTAAAACAACTAGTAAAAGAACAAAGCAACAATCAAAACAAGAAGCAAAACAACAAAAGCAAGTACTAGAGTTGACTTTAAAAGAAATCTTTGTGCATTTCAAAGAGTTTTCCTATGCTTTGGTTACTGGAGTGGCTCAGTGAGCACATTTACTTCTTCATTTCTGCTCTCTTTCCTCTTTCTCATTTATAATTCGATTACCCGCTTCTTATAGCCATTAGACGGAAAAGGAGGTGTAAATCTAAAGCTTTGGATGAAGGGAAATCGGTGGCCGACGGGGGGAATCATCCACACTTCCGGTCAACCACCTCACCCACCTCACCCACCTCACCCACCTCACCCACCTCACCCACCTCACCCACCTCACCCACCTCACCCACCTCACCCACCTCACCCAATAGCTTCACCCCATCTAAAGGCTAACAAATAATCCACACGTGACTCTAGTGTACTTAAAACAAAATTCGATTGTATTTAGATTGGATTTTGATTGGATTTAGTCTAATAATCTAATTAATAGTATAATGAATGAAGAAGAGAGCCGTTTTGAGCCATTTTGAGCCGCTTTTGAGCCGTTTTGAGCCGCTTTTGAGCCATTTTGAGCCGTTTTGAGCCATTTTGAGTCGTTTTGAGCCATTTTGAGCCGTTTTGAGCCGTTTTGAGCCGCTTTTGAGCCATTTTGAGCCGTTTTGAGCCGCTTTTGAGCCATTTTGAGCCGTTTTTGAGCCATTGGAAAGAGGTTAATTGGAACCAATTTTGGTTCACCTTCAAGTTAAATTTGAGAGTGAAAACACGTGTTTTTCGTAAGAAATCTATGGAATCTACGAAAAGGAAAGAAAAGGAATGAAAAGGAAT